GTGAAGAGACTCAAGCCCCTCTTCCTCTTCCAACCCAACCCATTCTGTGATTCCCCACAAATGGGCAGGGTGTGCTAAACTCCTACAAGCAAACTTGTGCAGCTCCAGGACAGGCTTCTCCAGTCATTCTGAAACTTCCCAGCCCCCTATCCAGTGGGGTGGCACACTCCAGGAGTTTGGCAGTGCCCCCTTGAGTAACAAATTTGCATTTCCCTGAAGGAGCAGAGTGGTGCTATTCTATCTGTAGGTTACTAGAGAATCAGCTTTATTGCTTGCTACAGGAACATACATTTGGAATAAAGGGACTAAGTTACAAAGGAAAGAAACTACATAGCATGTTATCAAAGTTAATACTGAATAAGAGAGGTTCTCTTTAACTTCTGCAGACTTTCACTGGCTTAAGAGCAGGCTAGTTAGATCTTTGAACCTAGTCCAGGCTTAATGTGTCCTGGAGAATTCTTGAAGGAATGTCTTTTCTACTCTTGTTTGAAGTCGGGTCTGTGCTACCCAGGCCACAAGATTATTTGCTCTTGTCATTAAACCAAATGGAAAAATCCAGCTTTATTTTCTTTCCCATTCATAATTCTTGTGTTTGGAAAGTTAAGACATCATATGACCATGAAGATGTTTGGGTCCTTTTGTCTCCTTCCCTAACATTTTGATGACTGTACCTATTTCTATTCTTTCTCTAGATTAAACATTGCCTTCATCATTGTTCTCTTTCTTGTTCATTATGGAGCCTTAAGACATAGTAGCAATATTTTATACATCTTGTATCACAACACTTTATAATTCTACCTGCATTTTAACAAGAGGTAAAATTTACTACTGGCAATCTGTAGAGTTCAAAACCACTATTTGGACATGAAGAAATTAAAAAATGGAGATGGTAACACCTCTTATAATTTTTACAAGATTGCGTTTAGAGTCACCGTGGCGTGTAGTATATAGGAAAATGTGTTACTTTGGCTAGGAAACACTGCACCTGCATAATTCTTTGTTCAAATCTCCTGCAATATTAGTCTAGGTCCTTGTATTACAAAAAAATTTCACTGTGATTAAATGGAATTAGTGGATGATACAGTACTTAATGCAGAAGTAATAATATGACTTCCCTCATTAGTACAGGACTGCTATAGTTTCTTAATTGATTTTAATCGGCATTTAATTAGAAAATGTGAATCCCCTGTGGCTAGTTCATATTTTACACTATTCTAAGGTAGACTAATTTCTTTTCTACAACTGGCATCCCAATTTTAGGTTAGGAAAAATATGAAATCTTTTATTTGGCTTGTGACCTTTGAGGCTCTCTCTGTACGTCACAGACTTGGGCTGTTTATCAGCCCTAAGCCTCTAAAGGTCACCATCACCGGTCTCAGGAAAGAATCCCTTTTTCTATCTCTGGAGTAGAGTTTCCTAGTGTTGAAGTACCTCACAGGCTGTTGTACTTGTACAGCAGGTATTCAATTATTTCTTGGGGAAATAATGCAAGGACTCCATGTTCAGAACTTGTGGGAAGATACGGACAAAAGTTTTATCATCTCTGTAAGGCCAAAAATACCCGTGAGTCCATATATTGAAAGGGTGGCGAAAGGTGCTCAATCTGATACTCTATTGTTTCAGCTCCAGAAGGAATGTCTTGAAATAGAGAGGGAGAATATCCTGCTCTTTGAATGAATAGCATAAAGAAATCCCTGTGCTAGCATGATATGAAAGTTTTATCACATTCTGGATTTTCAGTTGTGCTGTATTAAACCATATTAATATTTGGTTTTTCTAGGGCAGTCGAAAATCATTGGTAATGATGAATTTTTCATTTACACTAGTGCCAAATGATCAGCCTTAGTGCTCCTAGGTCAGTCAATCATTCCACTCTAGTGGAACATTTCTGCCTTTAAGGCAAATGAAACTTTTTTTCTCTCTGTCTCAAGTGTAGATAACTTATGGGACAAACTCACTAATAGCTTATCGTGTGTGCAATGGCTGTTGCCCTATGATCCATCAACATACCCAAAATGAAAAGTGATTTCCCCAGAGACTCAGGGTAGAGCTGCTCATAGTTTTTTTTTGTGTACCTGAATGTAGATTCTCTATTAAGCAGCCAGATGAAGCGGAGTCTCTCTAACCAGCCATGTTGTGACTTGCTAAGAAGGGAAAAAAACCCCTAGAGTCTGATCCAAATGTGGGTATAATATATGGATATCTTGATTCCAAGGACATTCAGAACAGTAATCCTTCCCACAATTGGAACAACATGAGCTCATGCTGAAGCAAAATTCTATTTAAACAAAATGATCTCCAAAAACATTAACCCTAATAGTCCATTTTGTAATAGAAACCTACAGGGTTATTGCCCAAATTGTGTTTTTGCTGTGAGTTATGTATGGTGTAGATTTCTTAACAGTCGTTTGCCTCAGTACAGCAAAGAAGGCAGGTGTGGCTGCCCTTAAACCCTGCTTACAACATCACTTCCAAACAAAAGCATCTGACCCTTTGGTTTCTGGCTTTGTTTGGCACAGAATTGTAACTGCAGGGATTTCTAAGTGACGTTCACTCATTTTGTCTTTCTTTTAATACTGCTGCTCTGAGATTGGTGGTATATTGAAACTTGAGTAATTACATCTGCCTGCATGGTGTATTTAGCCTTACAACACAATATTCCTTTCTTTGCTTTATGTCTTTTATTATTGCCTGTTTTCTGAAGCCTTTGAATTTAGCTCAGACTGTAAGGTTGAAAGCTGTTGATTTCTGAAAGGTAAAAATGAACAAACAACAACTCCTCCAAAGCTCACTAAATCAACATATTTGTTTGCAAACCAGCAATAACAAAAAGGTTGCTGAGGAGACCTCTGCTTCTTTCTGCTTCATATCCTTGCTTTGTGCTGCTTGCCTATCCTGCTTTCCCTCTTTTAATTTCTTTTTTAATAGTGTGTCTTTGTTTCTTCTCTCCCACCTGCTATTGCATTTTTCATCTGCCTTCTGTCTTTGTCTCCTGTACCTCCTTCAAATTTTCTTCACGAGGAACCTTCCATCCTGAAGAGAGCATTGTTTGAGAGAATGTCTCCCAGTAAAATACCAGCAGACCAGGTTCTTAGGTGCTCTGTAATGGTGGAAATCAGACACAGTGAGCAGGATTGACCAGAAACTGTATTATTTTTCTACTAGCATTTTACTTTTGTTCTAACCCACTTAGGCTGGCAGGAATAATTCCAGTGGAAGGCATGATGTGAACAGTAGTCGGATCTCAATCTGTTTTGGTGAGGAAATGCTGTAAATCCACTCCAACAGGTTGGTTGTTTTGGACTTTAGCACAGACTTTTCACACCATTTTTTATGATGGTTCAATGAGTGAGGTGCCCAAATCTGAGGTCATGTAATCTCTAGTTGTCCTTACTGGTGTCTGGACAAGTAGTTTTCACTTTGCATCTGTGTTATTGGTTGTGTCTGGACATCTTTAGGCATTTGAAAGCACTTTAGCACTGGTCTAATTAAGCTCTTACTAGGGGCAATGGTAGAACTGCTGTTGACCTCACAGGAAAGAAGTTTGACAAATGCTGAGTGGTTTTGAAAAGCCCAGTGAAGTGCTCTACAGTTGTCCTGCTATTCTGGAGCAGGAATGAATAGGGATGTTAAGAGTGCTGCTTAATGGCCCTTCTCAGGCTGCTCCTGCAGTGGTGGCTCTTGCTTTTGCCAAAGCCAGTGGGGAGAGTAAGGGTTACACAGGAGCTGCTCTACGAGAACTACCCCTGCTCAAGCTCAGATTCTACTTAACACGGTATATTTAAGATTTATTTTTAAAGGCTCTTATAAATATAGTTTTGTGGTACACGTATCTGAGGCGAAGTTAAAACCTCACATCAGTCCTGTGCTGTTCTGCAGCAAAGACAAACACGCATGAGAAGCATAAGGGAAGTTGAATAAAAATGCAGTGCCTGAATCTGCTCTAGAGACAAACTTGTGAAGTGGCCTTTCCCCATGTTTCGTGAAAATGAAAATCTCTTACTAGCCCAAAGTGGAAAAATGCGTTATGTTTGTATGTAATAAAATGTGTTGTCTTTGAAAAATCTATTTATAGGCCTCGTCAATGGCAGCTGTTCAGCCCACTGTCTCACTGCTACCTGCCAATTTTCTCTTTATGCTTCTATTAACTGGAGCTTTGGGATTCACAGTTTATTCTAATTCGTTCTTAATGATAGAAAGCCAAAGTCTCTTGTGTCAGTACTTGTGAGATATGCTGAAGCACTGCAGTCAAACTTCGTATGGAGAGGGATTTTTTTTTGTATTTCTCTATACTTCTGGATGATTTTTATACATTCAGAGTATCAGGATCACAACTGGTGTCAGAACAGAATGTGTCAGTAAGAATGAAGTTTTGCAATCTGCATTGTTTTAAAGGACTTTGATCCTGTCCATCCATGAATAATTTCTTGGTCTCAGGGATATTCCTTTAGTCTTTTAGACAGGGGCTAAGTAAAGGTTGCTGTCACTTTTACTGAGGCAAACCTGTGTATTTCTGAGATGTGATTCTGTTAAAGGGTTATGTGAGTGCTATCTCAGAGATGTTGTTTAGCAGTGTAGGGAAATGCTTGCTTTTGTAATGCAGATTTTTAAGCAGAGTTACTTGTCACTTCTCCTTTCATTGGCAGTAGAGACACTGATGGGAAGTCTGTGAGAAAGTTTAGCACACTTAAAGCAGGCAGAACAAGATCATGTGGGTCAGGTAAAACATTATTTCTGAAATACCATTTTCCATTATATGTCTCAGTAGCAAGTGCTGTTGCTGTTCTGTGTGTGAGGGGGTAGAGGTGTCTGCATATTTGTGATATTTAGTTGATCTAATCCAACAAACTTGGCCTCATTTCCTCCACACGGACAGCAAGTCAAAGGAAGATGTATTTAGCAAGAGGCTAAATACTGAAGTTAAAATTAAAAGCTATAAAAAGAGCTGACACTTTGAGTTAGGCAGAAGAAACAATCCTTTATTGTCCCAATGAGGCTGAAGCATGACGGAAATGAAGGCTCAGTATGAGTTAATAACAAAATCTAGTGCCTTGCCATGTTCTTAGAGCTGTTCAAGGGTGTTGAAGGAGAAAACGTAGTCTCAGGTCATATAATGATATTACTGGGTGCAATATGCACTGGTGTCCAAGGGAATTGTGCTGTTTGTGCCAGGGTTGAATTGAAAACTTCATGGCTGGTTGGTTGGTTGTTTTTTTTTTTCTTCATTGCTTGGATGTGCAGATAAATGCAGTAACAGAAGACTGTCAGAAAATTAACAGAAAAATTATCAGTGGGTATCAAGACTACAGCATTTCTCCTATCCTGATTGCATTACCCTTGAGCAGCCAGGAAAGCTATAAAAGAAAACAAATTTTCTACTGTACCAAAACTGACTGCTTTAATTTCTACTTTCATTTAGAGATAGATATTTGAGAAGTAATAAATATTCCCAAGCTGTACAAAAACACCACTTCAGTTAACCCCAAAAGAAGAGAAAGAACAATAGGTGAAAATGCAGTAGACTCAAACAGAGAAATTAAACTGATGTCCTGGAAAAATAGACACAGATCAGGAAATCCTCTCACTGATGGGTACCCAGAAAGCACAGATGCATAACATGGTCAACTATTCCTTTATGAACTCTCCCCTCCTTTTTTAACCTGAATTTTAGAAGTTCTCCACATGAGATTATTTTTCTTCTTTCTCTGTGCTGAGGGTCTTTGTAGAAGTGCAGTAAAAACACAGAAAGGAAATAGAGAGTCTGCTGAGGACAAGTGACCTAATTTATGGCTTTATGTCCCAAGTCTCACCAGAATGTCCAAGGATAACATCAGCTAGCTCTCTCACAGTTACTAATTATGAAAAACCTTGGCAGGGCGGCCTGAATCTTTTTATTAGACCAAGTAATATGGCTGTGGGGAAAAAGGGAAATATCTGGAATAAATAAGATCTTCTACCAGTTCATTAAAAATATATGATTTGGATTGTTGGAAGATGCAACAACCCTGGGCTTCCTGACAAGCCCTTGTTGGTTACCACACAAACCTTCCAACTACCACTAACGTATGCACAGCAGTTTTGGATAATTTATTTGTTCATGTCCTAAGATGCAGGGCCTTGAATGGACAGGGTGGGTACCTGATAATTTTGGGGAACATGTGGAGCGTGTTTGTCAGAGTTGCTGGAATTAGATCAGCATATGCTGCTTGAGGAGCTGGCCGGTACAGAGATGTGGGGGAGAAATAAGGGAAAGGTACAAGTGCGAGTTAAGAAGTTGCTGTGAAAATCACTAGTTACATAATTTAAAGAAACAATTATCTGAGGAGGGGGAGAAGAGAAGGCAATATGGCCTTTTCAATGCAAAAGAAGACTGAATCAATGCTGAAAAAAACAAATGGCAAGGTCATTACATTGACAATGAATAATAGAGCAGCTAAGAAAGGCAATTGTGTGCTTCCATTCTTAAGAAAGCCATTTCTTCTGGCAACCAACCATCCCAACCAGAGACTAGAGTCTTATTAGAGTAGGAAATGAGTTGTTTTGCTGACTTCATGCGTGTAGTGAATTGGCTGCAGAACTTCTACAACAAAGTTCTTTTCAAACAAGTAGCNCAGATGAGATTCGTTAATATGCCTCACGGCACTCAGCTGTGTTAGTACATGCCAGAATGTGCACAACATATGGAGTTTAGGTATAGATTTAAATGTGTTGATTATGTTAGTGTTAGACAAATATTATCTGAAAGGACACAAACACAGTAGTTATCAAAATAAAGCACCAAGCAGAAAGATGGATGTAGCGTGCCCAGGCTTAGCTGATTGCTGTACTGAACTTTATCAGGACACTGAAGCTGCACTGGTTTCTCACTTGTGTGAAGTGATTGTACTGTGTGATGGCAGCAAAGTCCCACAGATCTGATTGCAAAGATTAGTGAAAGGCTCAGTGTTAATAAACCTCTGTCATTCTTCCTCTGTTTTCCACAGACACAAAAGAAGTATATTTTGAGATATAATAAGAAGAGACAAAACTTCTGTTTTCCTGTGCAGGGAAGGCACGGGATATGCCATAACTCTTGGTGTAAGGAGAGCACCTGCTGAGAGAACTAACAATAGGCCATTCACTAAAAAAGCACCAGTAATTAATCCTGGAGTTATACAGGGTTGTAGGCTAGTTAGAGGCCTGGCGTAAATGGGTATAGTCTAATGGTACCCTAATTTACACCCCGGTTCTATGGTATTTAAAGCTATTTGCAGTATAAGCATTAGTTTTTATAATTTGTTCTGCCAGAGGAGAGATTCTCTTCTATATTGCATTGTGTAGGTGCTGGTTTCAGCATTTGCTGGGAGAAGAAAAGTCAGGTCAGCTTGTCTAGTTGGGAGCTGTTGTTCTATTGAAAGTAATTGCAGTTTTCATGATAAAATGTTGTATGTATTATATTAAATTTATTCCTACACTCTTGTATTGACCAATCGTGTAATTAAGGGATATACCAAGGATTTCTACTGTAGAAACCAACCACCTATTCTGAAGACTTAAATATAGCTGTAACAGCTGATTATATGTTGAGTGTGAGTGTAAAGATCTTGGAGAAAGAGCTCTTTAGTGCACATAAAAGACATCTCTATATAATGGCTTATAAACATCTTCCCTCAAAACCTGACAATATTGAAGGGAGATGATGAAAAGCTACTCAAAAATCCATTTAACTGATAAGCTGAATGCTCCTAATAAGCCAATTTCAGGCATCACAGTGAAATAAGTGAAAACACAATCTGAAGCAAGAGTCTGAGCCGTAAGAAATCCTGCCCTTTCAGGACAGTTTTTACTCAAAGTGTGTTCTTTAGACCTTGTTTAATGGTGATAATGTCAGCCCTTGAGGTACGCACAGTTGGCACCTGCTGCCAGTCTCTCAGTGCCAGGTACAGTAGGAGTAGGAGCCAATCCCATCAGTCACTGCGGGGTTGTTCTTAAATATGGCAGAGCTCAGTTTAATTTCTGTACAGGAGCTGCACCTGCTGCCTGTGGGACAAAAAGCCTGGCCTAGCAGGCTGCAGTGCTGAGAGTCTGTCTGCCTGCAGAGGCTGGATCTAAGCTTGCTGTGCTGCAAAGGACAGTGCTGGGTGTGAGTGAGCTCACGCCTGGGCACGGCTGCCGCTCAGGCACTGTGGGAGATTTAATGAGATCCACAGGGAGAATGAGCCCAGTCGTGCCCACGCAGTCCAAGGGCAAGTGCAGCTAAACCAAGGCTCTGGAGCTGCCAAAGAACTTCACCATGCATTTCTTTCCTGCCTTGAGCTTTCACTAACTGAGGACCTCTGTGTTGCACTCCATCTCATGCAGGACTGATGTCCAAAGTCCTACAGAACTGCAGATTATACACCAGGGCTGCTCTCATCTCTTTGCAGTGTTCTCTGGTATTCTTCCAGTACACCCTTTGCACCCTTAGAATGGGTATGGGGAGTGGAGGGGGTGTGACCCCATGAGACAGGGGTTACAGCTTCCACGGGGAGCTGTGGAAGGACTTTCCCTCTGACTACACCAGTGGGAAACTGTACTGAGTTTCTCTGGACTGGAAGTTGCTCTTTGTCTTTCACACAGAAACCTCTTTGCTTTTCAGTGTATCCTTTAGAGATTTTTGGCAGTGGTTTATTCAGTAACCAAAATTTTCTGCTTACCAATTCAGTTTCAGAACAGGAACAGAAAACCAAACACAGGGTGCAGATGAGAACAGCAGCTGAACAGGGCAGGGTGAGCCTCAAGTGAATGACAGTTCCTAAGCAAATGCTCTACATTTCTTAAACTCTTGGATTTTTGCTATTCTGGCACAGCCTGTCTAGAAATAGCAGTGCCTGGGATCAGCTCTCCTGCAGCAGTGGGTTATGTGGCAGAGAGGAGCCCTTCTGCAGGGAGGGGCAGTTGTGAGCACTCTGCAACAGCCCAGCTGCCTGTGGCTCTGTCCATACCCAGTTCACCGGGGGGATCTGAGTTCAGGCGGTGTTGTGTGTGAGCCCAGGGAGCCCTGGAAGCTGCAAGATCAGAGCCCAAGTTTACATGTGCCATAACCAGGCTTTGTTTTCAAAATAAGAGGCTCTGGCCACAAGGCTGAGCTCTGTGCTCACCTGAGTTTGGAACTGCTTGTTACTCTCAAGTCCTGCATTATCCTCTTCTTGCTTCTGCCTCTCTAAGGGCAGGCCTTCAGGGCTTAATTCGTATATATGGTTGACATAATGATGCATGTAAATTAGACATGCTCTTTTAACTTCATCACATATCTGACTACTCCATTAAAGAGATTTAAGGGCACCTCTGGTCAGTGAAGGTGACTTTAACTTCTTTCATATCATGTGAGTATACTTTGTTTCAGCTGGGTCCTGACCAGCAGAAACCATTCCAGGTTTGTTCTCAGCTCATGTCTGATGGCTCCCTTAGGGCCATTATATTTATATATATAAGTGTATATATTCATATCCATATCTATATATAAACCCATTTTTAATCTAGGTTCATTTAGATAAAATAAAGCATTTCAAATATTTAGAAGAAAAAGGAAAGGACAAGTTGCTTTCTTGTGAGGAGAACTGATTCTTCCTTGAAGACTGAGCACTTTGATAATTTTCTGCAGCAGTTATCTTCAGCACCAGATTTTGGCAGAACATGATTGAGTTAGGGCCCGAGGGTACAAATTCCATTTCAGGAGTGTGCTGGAAGAAGGAGTCTGCCAGCATAAAGAGACAGTATCTGCAGTGTAAAAATTTGGAACAGACGGCATAGGGTCGGGAGAAGGAGGGGCATCATGACTGGAGAGGGAGCAGCAGACAGAAAGCCTCGGCCAAAGCCCCCTTTGAAGTCTGTGGCAGAGCCAGACCAGGCCCAGGCACCTCAGTACAGGTGAGGGAGGCTGCAGGCAGTGGTGTGCACTTCATTCCCCTGGTAGGAAACACCCTGTACAGGCTAAGGGTAAGATGGATTTTTCTGATCCTAGACCAGTATTTCCACAAACACCTTTCCTGTCCCTGTACATTTTTGAAAAATATTACTTTATTTTAGCCTATCTTTGGGATTAGAGCATTGGCACTAAGTGCAAATGAGTATTTTCTCCCATGTGCTTGAAGACCACCCAATCAAAAACAGGACCAGAGAAGTTGGTGTTATGCCCAAGTTTAACTTAATCCACCACTGAACTTCAGCTACTTGCATTGCACCTCTTTTGTTGGTTTTAATCATTGTGTCACATTATTGTTTGAAGCTGGCAGCATTGTATTTAATCAAGAGCATTTGCTTAATTCATTTTCAGTTTCTGCAGTGCATGTGTCTGATGGGGTAAGAACCAGTTACAAATGGCATCAGTGATAGTGAGTGGCCCAACTCCTCATACCCAGAGCAGCAAAGTTAAACCTTATAAAAAACCTGGAGCAAACTCCAGGAAAGAAAAACATCCAATTAGATGGAATTACCTATAAATCCCAGGGGCAAAGGCTTCCTGTAGTACAGTGTGGGGCTCCAGAACAAACCCACTGTGCAGACATTAGAAAGGGAAGAAGGGGACAGAACAGCTGATTGTTTTAAGTAACTGAAGGACTTTTTGAAAAACAATAATTAAATTTAGTTAAGTAAATTAAATATGAAACTTACTGTGTCGATATAGAAGCAGTAAAAAAAAAAAATCAGTGCACTGCTTTGCACTGGTTTCTCTTTAAGGCAGGGCAAGCGTCTTGCTGTAAGGACGTGCGTTGTGGGGAACTGCAAACTGAGTCCAGTTCTTCAGGCCCTGTGACTGCCAACTCCAGTGAGCCTGCTGGACTGCAGGAGCTGGATGTCTGCTGAGCAAACTGGGGAGGAGAATGAACAAGTATTAACCTTTTTCTCAGGGGTCAGAGCACAATCAAAATGCCCTTCCACAGAAAGTAACAGAATGAGATTAATTTTACATGCTACAGCTATGATTGTCCAAGTGTTATAGGGAAGGCAGGATAAATTCAGGCAGACAGGGTTTCATTAATTGAGGGAATTTCCAGGCTAATTTACAGGTGTTCAGGGACCTGACCTATTTCAATTTGAATAATAGCTGATGACAGAGTTCAATATGCACCAGTCTTCTATTTAAACAGAGGGGAGAGATTTGTTTTGGGCTGGGGCTTCTTAATTAGTATTCCCCAAATATGGCATCATTTTGCTAAGCCCAGCTAGCACCTATTTCCTTGTCAGATTTAAACTTAAAATCAATGCCTTTAGCTTTGCTCTATGTAAAAGATTAAAAAAACCCAAGCTAAAGACACAAAACTTGGGTTATATCTGGTTATTGATTTAAGTTTTAATATGAATTAAAGGGGGAAAAAAACCAGAAAAACTCTCAGATACTTTTAAAGTTCTTCCTTTGATAATTAGACTCTTATTTCAAGTTTCATTTGGTTAATGGACAACTATCTTGCCCATAAATTACACTTTCTATGGTGCTATGTGTTATACCCACCTGAATACCAACAGTCATCCCCTACTCACTCTATCAGTAAGAGGGAAACAACAAAAGAGAGGATGACCAGAAGCCATGGAAGACAATTCTATTACCAGCTCTGGTCTTCCAGTTATTCACTGTAACTTAAAATTACTTGCTAAGTTTCGAAATTTCAGCTAAAATTTTTAACTGCAGGGTTTTTAGCCTATTTAGAAAGAAATAATCTTAAGCCCTCTGGGCGATCAGTTAATATTTAATGCTGTTGTACTCTGATGTCAAGATTTCATGAGTAGGTAATAAAGAAATGTGTTTAGCTCACAAATTCCTTGAAGCACAGCACAGAGTGGAATGCACACCTCTAATAGTGGGTTAATTCAGCTGTTCTCTATGTCACTTTTCAGTTAATACAAAACATACCTGCCTAAGGTAACAGTGGCACTGAGCCTCCTGCAGTCCCTAGTGCCTGACAAAGGTAGCTCTGGTCCTGCACAAATACTGGTCTGTGCAAATACTTAGAGGAAGAAAGACCCTGTCTCTGGGATGTTTGCAGTCTCCTAGATGTTACTCACTGACTTTGTAGATCTCTGTAATAAGCTTTAAGTAGAGGGAGTTGCTTTAAATGTGTAGCATCTCACTTAAAACCAGGCTTAACCTTCAGTATGATACTGCCCGGCAGAGCGATCTATCTGTTAATCACTTAGATTCCCTGCTGCCTGTTTTCCATCCATTTCCATCTCTCTGTTCTGGCTTCTCCTGGTTGTAGGAGGAACAGAATATTTCTCACTGCCTGTCCCAAAATCTTGGTACAAATATTCCTCAGAGTTTGGGGCTCAGCACATACCAACCTTTAGAAGTAAACTTGTGCTAATAGCAGTCTTACTTCTAACAATCAGAGCAGCAGTAAAATGAGACAGCCCCAAATGTCAGATTAATGACAGATAACCACTATGCAACTCAATGCAAACTAGTTCCTGAGAATAACTCCTGTTGTCTGTCCCATAGTTTAAGAAACTGTTAGGCACAGACAGCTCCTGTGAATGGCATTTCTCCATCTCCCGGCAAAGCGTGCACACTCATGCCCAGTTCTCATGGATTGCATCACAGACAGTATCTGTGACTGGGGAAGACAGTTTCTGTGAGGCTGAGTAGTTCCCACGGTTCTTCCCCAGACAAATAATCTTGGCATTTGTGAAATATTAAGTTTATAGAGAATAGTAACTTCTTTCTTGTTCAAGAAATAGCATTGAGCTCTCCTATGTTATTTTATTGGTGTTCATTTTCACAAAAGGCTAATAATCTCATTTTGTTCCTTGTCTCCATTGTGAAGTGCATTTGCAGCTTCTTTAATCTTTTCAAGATAACCAAGCCAGCCAGAGGCTAAATAATTACTGACAGCTGCTAGGTACTGTCTGTCCTATTAGATGTGTTAATCAAATTTTGTAACTGTGTAGAAACTTCAGCATTAGCAGAACAAGGTAACTCGGTGGTTTTTTTCATCAGATTTACCCAGAACAGTGTATTCTGCAAATATTTTCTACCCAGTCTCTCAGAATCACAGTTTGAGTTGGAAGGGACATTAAAGTCATCTAGTTCCAACCCCTCTGCCATGGGAAGAGTTACTCAGAGCCCTATCTAACCTTGCTCACACCACTGCTCTGGGGCTTCTAGTGTCCCCTTGGTCACCCCCCCTGTCATCTGTAAACTCTTCTGTGGGTCCTCCAGCACAGGAGTGGAACCCAGAATGACTCCATCTGCAAAAGTGAGAATGACATATCCCTTTATTCGTGCAGCATCTCCCAGTACAGTAAGTGTAAAATTAGATTTTGGATGTAGGACACAGCAGAGATTAATATTATGGGTTCTGGCCAGAAAACTGTACTCTAGGCAGATGTGGTCTAATGGATTTAGTAGAAGCATGCTGTGCATGTGTAGGTACATCACCAGGCCAAGTCCCTTGTGCTGTAACTGCTGCTTTCAAAAGCTAATGAGACAAAAATGTTAATTTCATGACCCATCTCCTGGAGTCCTGACAGAGCCCCCTCTCCCTTGGGATTTGGGAGTGAATTGAGATTTAAGGTCAGGCTGCTGTGGAAGCCTTACAGTATGTTGGGCTGGAGTAGGGAAGAACAAAGACAGTTCTTGCAGGGGGTGGCTACTATTTATATGTAGTGACAAAAAATAGGTCCTCTCTGCATTTGTCCCAATGTCCCCAGGCACATAGAGCACAAAGAGTCTGGGCCCTGAGCTGTCTCTATAGTCAGATTCCTCTGCAGGGAGGGAGCTGCCCCAAGGAGTCCCCTAGCCCTGTCCCTCTGACAGCCCAGTGTGCCATGGGACAGGCAATGGGATCTCGTGGCCAAAGTCTCAAACCATTCCCAGCACACTAATGAGCCTCCAATGGGCCAGCAAAGCTGATATTCTGCTGTCTCTGCCTGGTCCCTCATTACCATCAAATTGTCAGATTTCCTCAGACCCACCGGCCTTCCTCAAAGTCTACCCCCTCATGTATCTGTTGCTCTGGCTTCAGGAAATAAGAGCGAGCCTAATGTCTATCAAATAATCCCAGCAAAACTGAGATTCCTCTGAGTAATGGGTCTAAACTAGTCATATCTCTGTAACAGAGATCATAAAAAGGAGTAAAACCAAAATACCTGTTTATTCGTACTTCATCTGAAAGAACGTTGAGTGTCAAAGCAGATCTCAGAGTCAAAACCTGGTCACTGCCACTTGTTCCACTGTCACTTGTCAGTTTTTAGCTGTTCTGCATTATCTCTGTGCCTCACTGTGTCAGTTTTGCTGTGCTCCTTCTCATCTTCCCAATAATGGCAATGGGCGCACAGGAATCAGAGATGGAATAAATTGACAAGGAGTGATTGGAAAAGCATGAAGGCCTTTGGAGCTCCAGAGTACTGAAAACCCAAAAAAGAGTTAAAGACACATTTTAGACATGCAGTTAAAAACTGCACAAGCTCTGAGACAGCAAGAATGGTTCTGAATTATAGCAAAAAGTGAAGAATCTGCAAATATTGTCAAACAAAAATTAAAGATTGGGGATGGTGCTAAACTCCATCAAAAGGAAGCCAGAAGAGGCACAAATGATGGTAATCAAACTGAAAAACATATTGTAAGTTTTTTGTCTCCTGCTCAGGTTAGTACTAGGGCAGGGGCTGTTGGACGCCATGAAGTTTTGCAGAATAACTGCTGTGTGTGTGTTTGGCAGTGATTCGGGAGACATGGACCTAAAAAATTTTGGGAAGCCAACGAGTGTTGACTACACAGTTTAAGCACATACTAAGCTCATACTACAACTGTTCTGAAGGTTCAATAGCCAGTCTCTGCTGCATCCATATCCTGTGTGGATCAGCCACAGTTCAGGCATCACTCCCAGTAAATGGAGTGGTTTGGAGTACATATTAAAAGAGGGAAAAGTTAAAAGACTTCTGCCTACTCAAAAGAAGTAGCCGTTGTTTTCAGAACAAAAAAGTCTCATGCACTGGACAAGACAGTCATGGTTATTCAGTGTATTCCCTGTCGGAAGAGGAACATCTTGGGGCAGAAGCAATTCTGTAGCCCGCTATCCTACACAGCTCTGGCCACTGCAGTGGAAGAGTCTGGCACTAATCTCCCAGCATCTGTTAGAACCACTGTATTTTTAGATGGATGTCTGCTGGGGATTCCAAGACTTCAAGAAATGGAAGTTATAATACATCCCTGAATGGGCTGCTCTCATATCTACTTCCCTGGTGGTTAAAAAAAGAGGTATCTCATCTCATCTGAATTGCTGCCATTCAGAGGTTTTTGTTAGCCTGTATCTCTCAGGTAATGAAGATCCTTCTTTGAAGAATTCCCTCTCCACACACACACTTAGCACTAAACTCACTCTTTAACAGCCTTGGGGATATATAATGCTTGCCTCATGCTTTTCACTGTAGGATTCTTTTCTTCCCAATTGCTTATCATTTTGCCAAACTGGAACCATTAGGTTGATTTTTCCAGTCAGGGTTATTTTCTTGCCAAGGTAAGCCTTACTGCTTATAGCTTTTTTTTTTTTTTTTGGTAAGTTTCAGCCAAAATGATCCAGTATGTGCACGAATAAGGAGAGGGAAGCACATCTTTTAGGTTATTTGTTTGTTTTTAATGGTTAAAAAAACCCCAAAACCACAGAGTCTGGATGAGCATTTGGAAAGGGGTATCTTTTTTGTGGAAATAAATACTGTGATGCTTTCAAGTGCTCTGATACCATCTCGCCATTAAAAACAAATATTAAAAAATGAATTGTTCTGCTTTCATAGCTGGGCTTGTTGAAAGTACAGCGAACAAGGCAGTATTTGAGGCCTTGCTGGGAAGAACAAGGTTAAACTAGAATGCTGAATAACACTGCAATGCATATGCCCTGTCCATTTTACACCCCAGCTGAAGCAGATGGTGACTACACCCAAACATACATAGCTGAAAGCTGTGGCTCAACGTATTGCAGAGCTGATAGGTGTAATCATTTTGGCACCCTGATTTTTGTGTATTTCCACTTGACCCTTTAAATGGTGTTGTTTTCGTGTTGTATTTTGCATGCAACAACCCATAGGTTCACTTTATTTAGTCTCTGAGTGTCAGGCAGGTTTTCAGCCTTCAAAGCCACAGCTGTAGCTCTTCTACAACCCCCCTCGTGTTGCCAGCGTCCTTTCTCTGAAGGATGCTTTGGAGTTCCAGTAATGCTCACACAAACAGTTGCTCTGTAATTGTCATTGTTCCCGTGGTACATTTTATTGGCAAAAATCAAGTGTGTCTGAGGCCTGCTCCCGATGCCAAGAGTTTTTTAAGATGTGCTGAGCACCTCTCCATCTCTCTGAGTTCAGCTGGCATTGACAGCTCCAAGTACCTTGCAAGAGTAAGCACTTGGCATATAGGGCAAGTGAGACAATCAGCATTTTATGCATGTCAGGATGTGATCATGCTTGTTTTAATCCACTCTCCAGTAAGCCTCCTTGCAGAAAAACAGCTCTTGCACTTAATAGGGCCAAGGCCTTCAACCAAATGGCAGCAAGTGTAATTACAAACTGTTTATGAGAAGGCTCTTGTGTGAGAGAGTTATCTTTTGCTTTAGCCATGTTTGTAGCCTATTAAAATTTTAGGTGGCTCCAATAAGATTTCCTTTCTTGTTCATGTAAAAATGTGCACTGTCTTTTCATGCAGGTAATTGCTTTATCTAAACACATGGGTTGATCACAGGTTTTGTACGAGAGGTGCTCTCGGTGCCAGGTTAGTGTCCCAGCATGTGTCTGTGTGTGTGCTAACCTGTGTATGTGCATGGAACAGGATTTTAAGAGTTAGTGGATCATACTGACCACAGGTTGAGCATTACAGTATTTTGGGAAGTGTGCCCCACCATAACAGAGGGGAACAAGGGTTGAGGTCTGTCTGTTAATGGGGCTTCTGGGTGTTTTCTGCTGATGTAACATAAACGATGCAACATTGTTAGAGAAGGAGGAAAGGAATGACCATCTGAAGTGAAAACACGAAGAGACATGACTATTTTACTCCAAATGATATAGTATGTGCCTAAGACAAGCATGTTATGTAGGACCACCACACAAAAGTGTTACACTGACGTCCCCCACACCATGTCTTTCTGTGGAAGCACTAACAGTGCTAGTAACAGACCCCTGCAAATGGTGAAAAATGTATTGAGTTTAATTCTCCTTGGCACCAGAGACTCATTTGTATTGCCCCACCATGGCAAGGCCGTGCTAGCAACCCTGGCTATGAGTGGAGAACATTCTGTTATTTATCATCTTAAAGTGTGTTCCTCTTAAAGTGTGTGCACTGCTTTTAATGATAGATTTTTGGTGATGTGAATGTAAAATACATCACAGTTTCTGGTATCTTTTTAATTTTATGGATGGCACAGCTTAAAACCAGGTACATGAAATAAAATAACTACTGCTGAGAGTGAATAAAAGTTGGCAGGTATGGCAGTTTAAAATAGCCCTATTTTCACCCTAAATATAGCCTGATTTAATTGAAATCTAGTGGTAGCTATGAGACAGCTGCTATATCAAAGACTGGTGACAGCCTGCTGA